ACTTTCGGCACACCTTGGCGTGAACCGCACACTAGCACGCCTCCGCCAGCGTTTTCACTGGCCCGACGTCCTTCATGACGTCACGAGGTACATTGAGTCATGTGCAGTTTGCCACCGTAACAAGGGTCGATCTCGAGTCCCCTTCGGCGAACTGAAACCGTTGCCGATTCCTCGGACACCACGCCTCTCCATTGCTATGGACGTGACAGGCCCGTTTCCCCGCAATCGCCACGGCCATGACGGTATTCTCACGGTCGTTGACCGTTTGAACAAGTATGCTCGCTTCCTTCCTTGCAAGTATCATGCTGCAGCACCTGAGCTCGCACGACTCTTGCACACCGGTTGGATTACCAACCAAGGTGTTCCGGAAGACATAGCGAGYGACCGAGATACTCGTTTCATGTCAGCCTTTTGGACTTCCCTCATGGCTGAGTCCGGTACGACAATGAAACCGAGCTCGGCTCGGCACCCGCAGACGGATGGTCAGACGGAGCGAGCGCACCAGACCGCTCAGATGATGTTGCGTACGCTCAACAGTCCCGACCAGAAAGACTGGGTTAACAGGGTTCCCGACATCGAGTTTGCCTACAACACTTCGGTGCACCCGGCGATCTGCGTCACACCATTCGAGCTACATCATGGTGGAGAGAAAGCACGGATCTTCGCTGATCTCCTTTTGCCACAGGCTGCCGACATAGTCGTCCCTTGCTCTCCCGCTTCCATCCGGAAGTACCGGGACTTGCTGATCAAAGTCCGCGCAAATATGCAAAAGGCTCAGATCCGCATGCAGCAGCAAGCTAACCGACGTCGACTTCCATGTCCTTTCCGCGAGGGAGACCTTGTTTGGGTCCTCTCCGAGGAATTTGCGCTCGAGCAGGATGTTTCGCGCAAACTCCTTCTGAAATGGTTCGGACCATGGGAAGTCACTGTCGTTGGAGACGACCCCGCAGGTCCTTCCTTCGTGATCAACATTCCACCGCACCTGACAGTGCATCGGGTCTTCCACGCATCGAAGCTGGCCATCTACACGCCACCTTCAGCTGACGAGTTCCCTAGACGTCGATCACAGGATCCGCCTTCTATGGACGCACATCAGGAAGTTGACCGAGTCATGATGCACCGCAAGTATGGCAACAAGCCAAGGCAGTACAAAGTCACATTCAAGCAATGTGCGCTTGACGACACTCGGTGGATCTCCAGTACAGATTTGCAGACTTCTGCACCCCTTATCTTCGCYGACTATGAGAAGCGACGCCTTGCTAAGGACGCAGCTYRTCCCGCCCGACCCACCCCGGTATCGGACAGACAACTTCGCCCTCGCAGGTAGCTCGGTCTTTTAAGAGGGGGAGTGTGTTACATCTTCGACGCCACACGGGTCCTACGGGACCCGACTTAGGGCTAGAGGGACACATCAGGGCCTAAAGGCCCGACCTTGGGGTACTACAGGCCATAAAGGCCTCACCTTGGACCAGACCCGACGGGCAGGCCCAAACGACATTACCGTTTAGGCTTGGCGGCGCTCTTGAGGCTGCCGCCCGCCCGTTGGGGCTGAACCGTCCATCTGGACGGTTCAGGGCACAGCCAGGCCTCGCAGCAGTGAGGCCGGCCTCTGCCCACCGGTATAAAGAACCGGTCCGGCCTCACTCAGGGGATCGACCCACCAGTATACTACGGTGCGGTAAGGTCGGCACCAGAGTGTCGTTGGAGCGCTATGTTTAGCGCAGGAGCGAGGAGCAGGCAGCGCAGCGATTAGCGCAGCAGCAGCGAGCGGAGCAGCAGCAGCGGCGACTGGGTTACCGGCGGCCATAGCCGCCTGAGGTACCGGGAGTTGGAGGTTTCTCTCCTCCCTCCCATCGCCAGTCCCCTCTCTCTCCCTCTCCTCCTCGGCTCCCTCCTTCTTCTTCTTCTTCTTCTTCTTCTTCTTCTTCAGATTGGATACTTGTACTAGTTGGACAGAGATCAGAGTTGGATTTCGGTGATATGAGACTGTGGTACTTACCTGATTGGAGACTTGGAGATTGTTGGGGTTGATACTCGGCTGCATCACAGTTCGGACACCGGTTACATTTGGACGCTGTACCTCCGACAYTGGTGACCTATTGTCCTCGACACTTTGATCTTGTTGGATGACGTTTTGGACTCCCATATCRGTGACCTATCAGATCCTATCTCGGTGACTTTCAGTGCTGTCTACCTGCCCCACCTCCTTCGTCTCTCCTCCCCCATTCATCTGTGTATGTTGTGTAYGGGGCTGAGCACCTTCTKTGTATGGCTCAGACCCCACCATCTCACGATTGAATGTGTGTGGAGTGATGCTATGTAAGTCAGTCTATGTGAGTCAGTCCGTTTATCAGACTTCCGTTGCATCTATACTCATCCTACATTGGTTGATTCTTGGTTCTGCCCATACTCATTGGAGTATGTAACAGTGGGCCTTGGCCATCAATAATGCCATTCTGGCGGCCATTTGGTACAAATTGGCAGTCTGGCCACAAAAGCCACAACAATACGCTGAGATGTCCTCAAGAAAGCGTACCTATGGAAAAATAATTCTGAAACACCAGGGTGTATACAGCGGGTGGCCTAGGATGTCCTCATGCAGCCAAGGACCGGAGGGGGGTCGGGGATACTGGACCCCGAGGGAGAGTGAAGCGCTGATCTTCAAGGTTTTGGTCTGGCTGCTCATTGGCAATGATATCCCCTGGGGTCCGCTGGCCTGCTTGCAGATAGCCAACCTGGCACCTGAGATGCCAGCGGCCAAAAAGCTGCATCCCTTCGGCTAACCAATAAGAACTGGACAATACCCTCCCCCCCTCAACAACGACAGGTGAACAGCCTGCAGCAGGTAGCCAGAGCAGACATACTCTTGGACCCCTTGTAGTCGTACATGCTCAAATTGTGGAGGAGACGTGGCCCGCAGTAGAAACAACCTCTCGAGTCCCAACAGATGGCAAAACATTTGGAGGCAGCCGCTGTTTGGCAACCCATGCGTGCTGGACGACGACGAAACCCATTTGTCCTCACAACAAACTCCCCATGGCTTACGTCGGAGTTTTCACGGTGGGGGACCTACGGCACCCGGTGACAGCAGACTGGGCAACGACTGACCAACTGCAGCCGAGACTTAAACATGTTAGGAATGTGGGGGAGAAGGCGACTAAGCTGAGAGAGGCCCTCGCCCTGGCCTGGCGACTTGCCCTCCGAACAGGCCCCACGATGGTGCAAGATGACTGGGTGGTCAAGTACATGGACCTCCCCTACCTGCATGTCATATATAGGGTACACAGCATGGCAACCGCGGACCCGGACATGTCTGGACCGAGGCCCAGACATTTGTCTGGACTGGTCCAGACGGGCAACCAGACAGGACCGGACCCGGACCATCCAGACCGGTACACCAGACACAAAAATGTCCAGACCGGAAAAAAAAAAAAAAAAAAAGACAATAGTAATAAGCAGTACTAACCACAGCTTACTGTCTTTCACTATTCACAACTTCACAGCTCAATAGAGTCAATACTGTCACAGACATTCACAAAGGCTCACACAACACTTGAAACCAGTTCTCAACAGACCAATCCCAAGTCGCTTCAGAAAAGAGTACGAAAATCAGAAAAAAAAACAGAACTTTGAACTTTGAAGTTGGACTTTCTAATTCATATTCATATGAAAATTGAAAATTTAAACTGTTAAGTTATTCACAGATCTGAGATCTGGTCAGGACCAGATCTAAGACGGGATCTCAGATCTGACCAATATCATCTCTCTCTCTCTCTCTCTCTCTCTCTCTCTCTCACACTATATATATATATATCTATTTGACAATATATATATATATATATCTATATATATTGATGTTCTGTGGCGCTTTGCAGGCAGCGCTTCATTTTCGAAATCAGACTCAGCAGAGGGAGCTGTTGGAGGTGTCTGGCGGCGTCCGGTAGGCCCTGAAACGGCCAAAAAATACTGGGGCCATTTTTTGGGGGCGGCCTACCGTCTTCCCCCAAACATAACGCACCCTAAAAATGAATGTATACAAGCTATATTTCCGGCCATATACAGCCAAAATAAGGGTGCGTTGTGTTCGGGGGAAGACGGTAGGACCCAAAAAACGTCCTAGGACCCCCCAAAAGAAATTTCGAATTTTTCAAAATTGGGCCCAATCCAGACCTACCGGACCAGACACCGGACCCATACCCAGATAACCGGACCGTCTGGATTCCGGTCCAGACATCCGGCCAGTTGCTAGGAGCGAGATTCTCCAAACTAACAAGGAATGAAAACCTGGATAGTGAGGAAAGTTGGAGGGGTCTGATTCATGTCAGAGTGGTGGGGGACCCGCAAGAGGGCTTCTTTGTATTTGAGCCCACGATATCGGTCGCCAGGCTCCCCTTTGATCCCGGGGAATGGGAGTGGCCTGGACCGAAGCCCATGCAAATATGGGATTATAGTACTCTCAAAGGAGGATATACGGCCAATTGACCAAACCGTTTCCCGTAGATGGGAGCGAGACTCCCCCCTGGACCCGGACCTGCAAACAAATCTGCCCTGAGCTAAGTACTCCAAGATCATGCCCACGAACCTTAGAGCGCTTCAATGGCAGATTCTTCATCGCTGTCTACCCACGCCCAACTGGCTTGTTTCCAGAACCGACCTCGAGCAGAAAGGGCCTTTGTCTCCTATCTGCACTTTCTGCGGCAGGTCAACGCCGCGGGCCCGGGCAACACTGGAACACTGCCTGCTGGCGTGCCCTATGGTTACCCAATTGTGGCAGTGGTGGGACGCTGACTTCCACGCCCTCACGGGGGTGCACATCCCGTGGGACCTGGGGCTCCTGATGATCAGCAAGAACCAGCAGTTGCTGGCACAATGGTCCCCTTTTGCTACTAACCTATTCTCATGTACGAGGCTGCATGTCCTGATGCTGGCCTGGAGAGTCAGATGTTCTTTTGAAAGAAGAGACCATTAATTTGGACTGCAGCAAGCCCAGCAAACAATTGAGGAGGTGATCAGGTCCTGTACACACAAAGCCGTTTTTTTTTTTTTTTTCAATTCTCCAATCTATTCATGGGGAGCAGCACGTGCTGGAAACCGGGTCCAGCGTCCCATAAGGACGTTCCCTGCTCAGTTAATCCCCTGGATTCCAGGGTAATCAATGCTGGCAGGGGGAGGTCCTTTCAACTTTTCTCAAAAAACATCCTTGTTGAAGCTATAAACGTACACACAAAGCCTGGAAATCCTTTATAAGGGATTACAGGGAGTAAAAGGACCCCATTGTGAAGGAGGCCATCCGAGAGGCCTATCACCAGCTCTGGCAGGACCGTCACCACATCTTTTCTGAGCTTGCCACCAGGCTCAGCATCCAGTGGAAGTCATGGCGGAGGACAGAACCCTCATGGCAACGAAGACCCTTCCACTGTTTCGACGCCCCATACCTTCACCCTAACTTTGTTCTCATCTCATAACATAACATAACAGAGTGCCTGCCTGCTGCTCACCCACCCCTCCACTGCCGCCTGCCCCAAGCACTTCCTCCCCAAAGCCTGGCAGGCATTCTTGCCCCATGTGGTACTCCCCTTTCCTCCCCGCCCGCCCCTTCAGCACCCTCACCACCCTGTCCTGCCCCCCCTCCCCCCTCCTCTTCCCCCCACCCGGCCCCTCTTCCCTCCCTCAATCACCCGGCGGAACTGGGAGGCCCAGCGAGCAGATGAAGCAGCAACCACATGGAAATGCTGACCGATTGCAGATATAATCCAACAGAGTAAAACTGCTTCAGGGAGGACGATTGACAGTGCATCTGGCAGGCACACTACACAAGTGGCACAATTGCCTACAGACGCAGAGGTGAGAGAATGCAATGCTTCCCCCTGTTGAGAGACAACAGCAGACAACAGCAGCCACGACATGATAGGGTCCAGGCAGGGGAGCGACGGTGTACTGGTCTCGACTGCACAGCGAGGCCTGTTACCTCCCTGAAAGTTACAATGCACTACAGTTCTACCACTATAGAACAGCACTGCTTGCCCTATAACAACTGAGATCACTACATAGTGCATGGCCTGACGATTAAATGTCTAGGGGCGCTGGACCTGCTTAATGGTTAAATATCAAGGGACGCTGGACCTGATTTCCAGCAGGTGCAGCTCCCCACCAATGGAAAGGAGCCATCCAAATGGTGGGGTCGGTGGAGGGGGTGTCTGCTCTTACCAGCACGCCCCCCACTCCCCGCAGCCGATGTTTCACAAACAAACAAACAAAAAAAAAAAAAAAAAAAAAAAAAAAAAAAAAAAAAAAAAAAAAAAAAAAGCAACAACAACAAGAGAAATGGGCAAAAAAAAGTTCAAGAGAAATGAAATGGTTGCTAGTGACAACAAGGTATAATGACAAGTCACAAAT